CTTTCCCAAAAAGCAACACCTCGCTAGCTAGCTTCCAGCTCCCGGATAAACGAGGACCTCTGAATCCATCGCGCTCGAATCAAATGGCGACCGTCACGAACTCGAAGCAGCAACAGCAGGGCGCGGGGGTGGTGGTGGAGAAGAAGAAGTCAGTATTCATCAAAGTCGACCTGCTGAAGCCGGGGACCCAGAACAACAACTTAATCATCAAGGTTTTGTTGTCGAACACCGTCTTGCAGAAGGGTCGGGCAGCGTCTCAGCGCCTACGCAACACTCGCATCGCGGAGTGCCTTGTCGATGACGAGACGAGACCATCCTCCTTACCGCCCGCAATGAACAAGGTTCGTTTGTTCCTGTCTCTTTTCTTCTCGTCTATGATTGTGTATTTGAAACTATGGTGGTGGTGGGTTTTCGAGATTTGTAGTGTTTGTTGAAGAAGGGAATTCCTGGGTTCTGAAATGCTGGCCGATGTTATTGTTAATGGAACTATGGAAGCCTGGTAGAAGTAAAGTAGAAGAAGGTTAGCGTCAATGGAATTCAAATTCAAATAAATGTCTGTTAGAGTCAGTACTGAGTCGTTTTGTACAAGTCCTTGAGTTCTGTTTTATTGTCAGTCAAGTCCCTTCGAGTTTCAGGACTGTTGAAACTTGGAGATGAAGGCAGTTGGTTAGTTGCAGATTAATAGCTAGTTAGTTGAGTCATGTTAGCTGAGATTCAGGTGCAGAACGATCGTGTCAGTTAATGGAGGCCTGAGTTGTAGGTTGAAACTCTATTTATTCTGTTTCGTTGGTCAATAACAAATTGTCAGTTTGCCCCAAAATTGCTATCATTGTGGTATAAGAGCATTGGCTTACTGTAACCAAACTGTTGTGCAACAAAGAGCAAAGAGAGTTTGTGTGATTTGGGTTGGGAAACACGAGTGGATTCTGTGAGGACATTTACCAGGGTGAGTGAAACAATGCTGGAGTGTGAGTGCTGTGAAAAGTGAAAAGATGAGTGAAAATTCTACCTTTGCTCAGGTCTGCATCCCTCGCTTTGATGGTGATTATGACCATTAGAGCTTGGTTATGGAGAATCTTCTCAGATCAAAGGAATTCTGGGAGGTGGTCTCCATTGGAGTAAATGAACCTACGGCAACAGAGACTCTAACAGTTGAGAAAAGCAAAGAACTTCATGAGTTAAAGCTGAAGGATCTCAAGGCAAAGAGCTGTCTCTTTAGTTCTATTGACAAGACGATTCTGAAGACTATAACTCAGAAGGCCACTGTGAAAAAACTCTGGGATTCCATGAAAATGAAATTCCAGGGTAGTGCTAGAGTGAAAAGAGCTCAACTGCAGACTCTAAGGAGAAGCTTTGAGGTGCTAGAAATGAAGACTGGAGAAAGTGTGAACGATTATGTTGGTCGAGTGATGGTAATAGCCAATGGCATGAGGAACTGTGGAGAAGAGGCATAAGATGTCAAGATTGTGGAGAAGATTCTGAGGACACTCGCTGAGAGATTCAACTACATTGTATGCTCAATTGAGGAGTCAAAAGATATAGATACTCTCACAGTGGATGAACTTCAGAGCTCCCTTTTGGTTCATGAGCAGAAGTTCATAAAAAAGGAAGAGAGTGATGATCAAGCTTTAAAGATCAGCCATGAATTTGGTGGAAGAGGTGGAAGAGGCATAGGAAGAGCAGGCTTTTGAGGAAGGGGAAGAGGCAGAGGCAGGATTTGGAATAGAGACACTGTAGAGTATTTCTACTGCCACCAGCTGGGACACTTCAAGTATGAATGCCCTGAACTGTATGGACAACAGACTCACTTTACTAATGTTGCTGGTGAGAAAGAAAGCTTGTATCCAGACATGAAGGAATAAGTTCTGCCCAATAGTAGAGCTGGTGCATTGTGGGTCAGCTAGCCAAATTGCTAACATAATGACCAAGGCAGTGAAGACAGAAACTTTTGAGTTTCTTCAAGAACAATTGGGAGTCAGGAAGATGGAAGAAGCTTCAGCAAAGCCAAGGATATGAGAATGAAGGTGAACTGAAGTCTTACTGAGGCTTCAGTTCAAGGGGAGGAAATGTTAATGGAAGTCTGGTAGAAGTAAAGTAGAAGAAGGTTAGCGTCAATGGAGTTTAAATTCAAATAAATGTCTGTTAGAGTCAGTATTGAGTCGTTTTGGACAAGTCATTGAGTTTTGTTTTATTGTCAGTCAAGTCCCTTCGAGTTTCAGGACTGTTGAAACTTGGAGATGAAGTCAGTTGGTTAGTTGCAGATTAATAGCTAGTTAGTTGAGTCATGTTAGCTAAGATTCAGGGGCAGAACGATCGTGTCAGTTAGTGGAGGCCTGAGCTGTAGGCTGAAACTCTATTTATTCTGTTTCGTTGGTCAATAACAAATTGTCAGTTTGCCCCAAAATTTCTATCAGTTATAGATGATTTTGAGAACTATAATGTGATTGCTTGTTCAAATAATGGAAGCGGCAGGGACGGCGGGGTATGCTGCTGGCGAGTATTGGTATTGGGGATTAGAAAAAATTAGGAGTTTTATTTATTTATTTTAAATAAAAGTGATAATGGGGTGGAAATGAAATGCCAATTTTAAAAAATTTAATTTTATTATTTTTAAATTGTCACGTCACACATTTAACGGTCAACTTTTAGAGTTGACCGCCACATAAGCAAAAGTTAACGGAGTTGGACAGAGAGTGACCAAACGTGAACGGTTTTAGTAAACTGAAGTACCACCAATGGATTTAAATTTTTCTAGTGACCAAACTTGAACATTTTTTGTAATCTCAGTGACCAACCATGCAATTAACCCTTATAGTATGATTCTAACAACTAATGGGTCATTTGATTTTGCTGATTGTTAGATTGACGGTCAATGAGTGTATAATACTACACATGTAATGAAGGAAGTTGTTGTATTGTGGTTTACATTTTCTGATTCTTGTGATAATTATTGTAGTATTTAAACAAGTTATATGAATTTTTGAGTGAAATGTCACTTTTATCTTTTATTTTTAAATATAAAATGTAGAGGTGGTTAACCCGCGGGTTGATGTCAATCCACTCGCAAATAATACGAACCGCAAGTAGCAGGTGATTGATGTGGGTGGATTGTCGGTTGATAAATCTCCTAACCGCACATGTGTGAGTGTGTAGTGGATGGATTGCGTGTCACCCGAATGACCCGCACTATATTTTCACATGATAAAATGGTTTTTCTTATGCTTTCGAATATTTATCATATTTCCTAACCGCAATAATTACTAGCCATCTACTTCTAAAAATGAAGAATACATAATATTTTTAGACTACTATTATTTGTTATTGTGTTATGTAATATACATCAGATATTGGATTCACAATTTCACATTATAAATAATTAAAAGTAGTCAAATGCGTCAGCTTTTTCAAATTCTCTACACAATGAGTTGGTAGAGTATTGATAATTTTGATGTAAATACTACATGGATTCACATGAGATAAAGTGGAAAGTGTTTAAATTGATACAATCTTACTAATTTACAAGAAACTTATTATTAATGTCATTAAACTTTTTTAGTGGCTAGGTGGAGAATTATTTTTGCGGGTTAACCCACAACCCAACCGCACTCATCCGCCAGCCAACCAACACAACCTACAGAAGAATGTGGGTGGATAGTGTGTCACAATGATAACAACCGCTAGTTAGCGGGTGGGTCAATTTGAGACCAAAATCCCAATAGTCTCAATAATCTCACCCAAAACAATAGATTTAACTATCACTCTTATTCAGTAATAGCTTATGTCATATTAAGCAAACAATATTTGTATTGTTTGTGCATAAAATTCAGAAAAATAATACATAATGAATAATACACGTATTTAACAATTTCAACCAAATTATCACCAAAATCAAAATCATGAGTTTTTATCCAATATATCTTTTTAAAAGATCAGTCCATGTGGTCCTTCAATGATATGTCCTCGTTTTCATCTATACTAAATCTATAACCTCAATGATTTTCTATAAATTTTCAAGTTTAATAAAAGCGATAGGCATCATTATGAGAATATTATGTAATCATAGCCAGTGGTGGAGCCACTCAAGGCCAAGGTGGGTCATTTGCACCACCTTGGACCAAAAAAAATATAGAGTAAATTAATCTATATGATTATAGATTGAATTAAAAATCTTCATATTATCGTAGATAATTTTACGAAAAAGTAATGTTTTGTGATCTACATTTTTCTTTTAATTCATATTTTTGTGTAAAGTGAGTTTAATATAAACAAAAGCTCGAAATGGTTGTTGCTATATGTTGTTATTGCAAGTGTTGAAAGAGTACTTAGTGCAATCAACAAAGTGAAGAATCACTTCAGAATGAGATGATTTCTGGAATCATGAACGATTTTTCGTTGTGGTATCTTCACATCCTCATAATTTGCATAATGAATGTATTATAGAAAATTTTCAGAACATAAACATATCCTTGAACTTACGTTTTATATTTTTTCCACGCTTGACCTACCTTAGATAAATTTCTGGCTAGGCCACTGATCATAGCTACCAACATCACACAACATAGATTAATCAGCCAAATCCATAAAGGGTGCTCCTCAATCCGAATCTTTTCATCTCTGTTTGCCTCCGAGTCAGATCACATAGTGCCAAGCCTCCCCTTTTATGTTGCTACTGAATCAAATCTAACCTACTTTCGCCATTGTAGCTGCCGATTGTCAAATTTTCACCAATTAGCTGTTCAGGTCGCTCACTCTCCTTCAATTCGTAAAAATCTGACAGAGAGCACTCTGTTGCATTGAGATGCTGGGGTTTCAATTGCCTATCTTGCACATGTATCATCTTCGTACCATAAGGATTTGTAGAACCCCACTTTGACACCGTACAAAGTTTTGAAAGAAACTGAAAAGACCCACTTGTTCTTGTTCATCAAGTTCAGTTTTCCCAACAGTCTATGGAGCCAAAACAGAAACATCCATCTCTGTTCCTGCAAACCCAAGCAGTGATCGCATCCTACTATTTATTTCTCCTATGGTTTTGAGAAGGTTGAGAGTGTGACTGATGGATGACAAGTTAAGTTTAGAACAACAGTAAAATTGGCAGGGAAAAGAACTGTAACATCAAGATTCAAGTAAATGTATGTTCAATTGATCCACAGTTCAGAATCCAACATGTCCAATTGGAATCGATGCCCAGAAGGTTAAAAAAAAAGAACACAACTGGAAAATCATCACACAAAAATGAAGACCCTATTTGGAGAAGGAGGCAGAAGAATCCTTCAATGCCTTATCATTTACACGATTCTTTCGTCTTCCAACGACCAACTTCAACATCAAACACGAAGCCACCGCCAGCAGAAGCGCCAGAATTCGTCCGCCGGCTAGTCCAACCAGAACAGCAAGAAGAATTACCAACCAGCTCAATTTACTCTTCTTTTTTATCTCTCTCTGTTCCTCAATCGTAACCAAGGTTTCTGATTTACCTTCTTCCAATAGTTCACTATCTAACCCTTTTCCCTCCTTTCCATCATGTACTCTCTGATCCATTCCAACTTCACATTCTTCGTTCACTTGTTCAGTCAGCACATCCAATATCAACAACTTGCCTTTACGATGATGACCAAACGGCTCGCCGCCACTTCTCTTCAATTTGCTTCCCTCTCTTCGTCCACTAAACTCTGTCACAACAATTTCATCAGGCTGAATCTCATCCACCACGTCCTCTTGCAGTAATTCAATATGTTTCCCCTTCTTTCTATGGCGCAACTGCTTGGGCACCAGCTTCTTCATCATCTTTCTTTTGTGTTTGTCCTTGTGGCAGCTCTGTGTTTCCCCAGCCGCAGGAAATTCAGCCTCCTGCTGTATTTCATCAACCACGGAGGAGCCGCTGAATTCATCACTTTCGAAGAAATCACACAAATGGGTTTCAGGCTCGTTCACCAATTGATCCTCGTGGGCAGCAGGATTGTTGATCGCGATCTCGTCGGCCTGTAATTGGTTCTGGTTATGGTGGTGCTTCTTCTTCAATTTGGAGTAGGGCTTCTTAATCCGGTCGTGATTCTTCCAGAAGAGATCTACAAGGGATGTGGGGAAACCGGTCTGGACGACTAGGGAGTGGCCGTGTTTAGGCGATGGAAGATCTGCTACGATCCGTGAGATCGCGGAAACCTTGGGCTTCTTCCACGGCAGAGGCATGGCTGTTCTGGTTAGGAGATCAAATTGGGGGGGAAATGAGGGGAAGTGATGAGATCACAAGATGAAGGTGAACAAAGAGATGGGAGGTGATATTAAAGAGGGTAAAGGGTGGGATATGGTGGTAGCTACCAGAAAGCCGGGCTCGTTTCTGTTATGGCTCGTGATGATTTCTGTTGCGGCCGCCATGGTTATATATTTTTTTTTGCTCTGAACAGAAGAGAAACTGAATCGGAGGTGGGATAACGAGAAAGAATTGAATGGCGGATTTGACAGAGGGAAAAAGGGGAAAGCGAAACTAACTAATGAAATGAAATGAAAAGGGGGAAAGCAAGCAGGTGGGTGAAAACGAAGAACTAACGTCGACTGCGCGTGGATGGTGGTGGGTTCCGGCAGCTGGAGTCGGCGTTTGTGGACAGATAATAATGAATTGAAATCGTTTAGTTGGTCAGTAAAATAATTAATGATCAAAACCATATCACACTTTACAAATAGAAAATGGTGGGGAAAACACGTTTCTTTCTTTTGGTTTTTTTTCTTCCTTTTGATCGGGTTTATTTGTTAAATGCTCATGTGCATGTTGTGGGGTGAATTCATGTAGTGGTAAATACACTTAGGGTTGGTTTGGATGGATCAATTGTAAAACGAGATAATTTGACCAATTGTTTCATTTTACAAAACGAGTCAATTCAGATTACCTGCCCCCACCCCAGACAATTGTAATTGGCTCAAAGTGAGTCAATTCAGAATTCTCCAGCCCAAATTGCTTCATCCAAATTTTCTGCTGCCAAACGGATCAATCTAGCACAATTGACTCAATAATTCAATGAAAAAAAAAAAACACTTCAATTCCAATCATATTCCCAACTTCTAGTTTGGCACGCAACTTCTTGGATTATACAAACTAATGACTAATCCCACTGGCGCCTGGCAGATCTTAATTTCCAATTCCGGAACCGGAAGTTCACTCCTAAATGGAAAATCTACACTTCAATATCCACATTCACGGTATTTACCTACTAATCCTCTTTAAGTAAAGTTTTCATTAAGTACCCACACGTTTAGTATTTTACAGAATCAACCAACTACATCTAATTACTAACATATGTTGACAGGACTGTTTTCTGCGGATCGAGAAATAGGAAGATTTAACAATACAAGAAAACAAAAGTACAAACACACATGATGCACAATTTACGTGGTTCACTAACACAATATGTGTTAACTAGTGCACGTACAAGAGAGAACCGGCCAGTTTCACTATACTTTTAAGAGATACATATTACATAGGAGTATGAGAAAGTATTTATATTACTTCTCCAATGTCTAACCCTAATCCAATCTAGTAAAGAAAAAACGGTTACAACTAGGCCCAGAAAACGAACCCAAATAAACGAGACCCCCGTGACTTCCAGTATTAGCGGCTGATAGCGATTCAAATAATATAAGCCTGTGCCCACTGAATTTCTAGAAATATATCAAACTACCAATCTACCACCAGACATGTCAACTGACTAAAACATCAAATTCAATTTTTTTTTGACAAACCACAAGCATCATCATTCTTGCTTTGGTTTCGATAGTCCAAAATGAGAAATAACAAGACACGTACGAGTATATATAGAAGAATTATCGGCTATTCTGAAAGTACCACGGCCCATGTAGACATGGTGATTTGGTACTCCGAACTTAGGTAACCAATTCGTGGAGCGGGAGCGAGAACGGAAGCGGGAGCGAGAGCGTGAGAGCGACTGATTTAGAAGAATTCAGTATTAAGAGCGTGAAAAAAACGTCAATATTATATTAATATTTATGCAAAAAACTTAATTTATAGTGAAACACAAAACCAATTAATTGAATTAAATAACCAAAAAACTTTAAAAGAATGATTCAGTTACCAGATTCAATCAAGTATCTCCTATCTAAATCCCATGTTGGCAACAAAAATTAATTCAAAATTTCTAAAAAGAATAATATTTGAATCCATATAAACAGTGGTGCATAATATATTTAATATTTATAGTTTTTTTTTTTTGACAAAAGATAATCATAAATTGATCAGAAGAAATAGATAGTTACATCCTGGAGTTCAGCCAGGCCTGAAAATCAAAGAACCGACTCGTAGTCGGGTACAAAGAAAGGGCTTTACGAGCCACCAGATGGGCTACCCTATTATTACACCGACCTACAAATCGAACACGAAACCCAGCAAAACTGCGAAAAATCCGCAGAAGTTCCTCCAACACAGCTCCAACTCGGTCATCCCTAGCATCCCCCTGATTGATTTTGTCAATAAGCACCTTTGCATCCCCCTCAAACCTTACTTCCGAAAGACCTGCATCCAAGCACCAACACACCGCCTCCCGAAGTACAAGTAGTTCTACCACCATAGGGTTGTCTATGCAAGGAAATTGAAACCCCTTAGCCATCCAGACTTCTCTTGTTGGAGTTAGAAGGACTACCCCCCCAGCCGAATGTGACCCCTGCTTCACCGCGCCGTCCCACATGCAAATAACACTGTCCTCCCCAGCAGGATCAAGGTATGGACCCACAGCCGGCACCCCCATCGGGGTAGCTACTACGGGACTATTATCCAAAGGCAGCCGGATCCACTCCTCATACTGCTGGTGGAACTGGCGCATCAAGGCCGGAAACCCAAATTGCTTTCCTTCGAAAACAACCCAGTTCCGAGACCGCTATATTCGCCAAAGGACGGCCACCACAGCCATGAACAGAGAAGGTTGATGAATCAGGGCAAAAAGTCGCTTCAGGAACATAGGGAGGGTATGCCTCGGAAGACCCTCTCCCAGATACCCAAGACCAGAGTAATCCCATAGTGCACGAGCCACAGGACAATCCAAGAACAAGTGCTCCAACGACTCAGTGCTCGCCCAACAAACCGGACAACGGGGATGTACGGGGACATGCTTTTCAATGAGGGCCTCCGTGGTGGGCAAAATCCGATTAAGGATTTGCCAGAGGAAAACCTTTAGTTTCGGGGGGATGTTTGCATCCCATACCCGAACCCAATCCTCCTTACCCATCCAACCAACCATCGATCGCCAACCTCCCCTCCTCTTATCAAGGTCAACAGCTAAATGATAGGCAGATTTAACAGTGAAAACCCCATCCGCCGTACCATGCCAGATTAACTTATCCGCTACATTTTGCCTCGGAAGGGGGATAGATTGAATGGCTCGACAGGTGGGTGGGTCGAACCATTGACTTAACTTGAGCTCGTCCCAACACCCCTCCCCTGGCCGCAAAACCTCCGCTACTGGTATCATCCCCTCTTCAGGCAAAATCCGAGGATTATAACAAGGGGGTTCCATCTGCAATTTAGGGATCCAACTAGAGTCCAATAAGGTCGCAGTATGTCCGTTCCTGATCTGCCACCGTAACCCCTGGGCCAGCAACTCCCTACCAAAAAGGATGCTTTGCCATCCCCATGAAGGGCGGGACCTAGCTGACGCATCAAGAAACGACCCATTAGGGAAGTACTTGCCTTTGTACACCTAAGCCAACAAAGATTGAGGTTCCATTAGGATACGCCAGCCAATCTTAGCCAGCAGAGCCTGATTGAATTGCTCGAACCGCCGGAACCCCAACCCTCCATCATGCTTGCTGCGGCATAGATTACGCCAGGATACCCACCGGATCTGAGAATGATCATCAGCATCCCCCCACCAAAACCGGGCCACATGCCTATCCGGGAGGCGACATAACGAGAGAGGAAGCTTAAAACAGGACATCACATGCAACGGCAAAGCCAGCGCGACCGACTTAATTAGGGTCTCTTTTGCAGCCCACGACAAAGTCCTCCTCTTCCACCCCTGGAGGCGGTCCAACAGCTTCTCCTCCAAATACCGGAAAGTGGCCATCTTGGACCTAGCAATAAGCGTAGGCAGACCCAAGTACTTATCATGGACCCCCACCGCACCCACTCCCAGGACCGCTGCCAAAAATTCCTGATCCTCACGGACGATATTTTTACTGAAACAGACAGCCGACTTGGCCAAATTCACCCGTTGGCCGCTCAACTCCTCATACTCATTGAGGACCTCAATCAGATTTTCGCACTCCCTGAGAGTTCCGCGGAGGAATAAATACGAGTCATCAGCAAAGAACAAATGCGAGATCCGCGGCGCCCTGGGGGCCACCTTCACCCCTTCCAGTCGTCTATCCCCGATAGCCTGGCGAAGGAGCGCAAAGCCCTCGGTACAAAGTACGAACAGGAGAGGGGAGAGCGGATCCCCTTGTCTCAATCCTCGGGAAGGAGTAAAATACCCTGAAGGAGTCCCATTCATAAGGACCGAAAAAGATGAGGATCGGAGACATTCGTGAATCCATCCCTGCCAGGTAGCATTAAAGCCCATCTTTTCCAAAACCGCAAGGAGAAAGGGCCACTCGACTCTATCATAGGCCTTTTCCATGTCAACCTTTAGAGCCATGAACCCTTTCTTCCCGCGAGTCTTGATTTTAAGATAATGCATTAACTCATGTCCTAGCAGGATATTTTCAACGATTTGACGCTCCCGGATGAGCGCATTTTGCCCCTCTGAGACAATTTTCGGTAACAAGCAGGCCAGCCTCTCTGCCATTATTTTCGTAATGATTTTATAAACAAACTGGCATAAACTTATAGGACGCAGCTGCCGCATAGTCTCAACATTGTCTACCTTTGGGATTAGTGTAAGCCACGTGTGGTTGAAACTACGGAGCATCCGACTCGTAGCAAAGAAGGAGCAAACTGCCATAACCACCGATTCCCCCACGATATCCCAAAAGGCCTTAAAAAATTTTCCAGTGAAGCCATCCGACCCTGGTGCTTGTTTTGACCCCATAGCAAATACCGTTTTACGAACCTCAGAGGGGAGAACTTCAGCCGTAAGAGAAGCATTCATCTCAGGGGTAACGCTACGAGCTATCGGCAACGAGGCCACACGCTCAGCCATATTCCCCACCTGATTCTCCGTCGTAAAAAGGTTTTGATAGAAGGAAGTCGCAATACCCGCTTTTCCAACTTCATCAGTGATCCAGTCATCCTCCTCATTCCGGAGGCCCGCCACAAAATTTCTTTTGCGCCGAGTCCGAGTCACCGTATGGAAGTAGGACGAATTCTTATCCCCTTTCTTCAACCAGTGAACCCTGGACTTCTGTTGCCAATAGACTTCCTCCGCCTCCCATTGTCTACTCAACTCCATCTCCAGCTCCCGGATCGTATCCCAGTCAATAGGCTGGGCCAATTTGACCCGATCAATTTCACTCTGAAGGGTACGAATATTCCGCAGGGAATTAGTAGTACCTGCTCTGCTCCAGTCATACAGGAGATGACGAAGCTTTTTAAGCCGTTCCCAAAGGCGGAACATAGGGGTGCCTTGTATCTCCTCTTTCCAAACATAGGT